TCAAAGGTTTAGCTGGCAATGACCAGTCCCATTTAGGTTTGTTCCTTGAGTTACTTGCATGAGTACTTTTATTGGAAGTCTCTATTACTACATTCATATTTTAAAAGTCATTGCCATTAATGTCAAAATTTTGTAGGAAACCCAACATGCCCCAAGAGTAATTTTAGGCCTATTTGTTTTTATACGACCGCAAAAAATTTTTGTGGTCGTATATTGGTATCACGTCGTCGTCCGAAGACACTTGGTTTACGGACAATAACTTTAGTATTAGTGAATAGAAATCTATGAAATTTAAACACAAGGTTTATAACCACAAAAGGAAGGTTGGGATTGATTTTAGGGGTTATGGTCCTAACAGTTTAGGAATTAGGGGCCAAAAAAGGGGCCCAAATTAGCATTTTTCTAGTTTTTCAGACAATAACTTGTGGAACTGTGTATGGGTCTCTCTGAAATTGTACAAGTTTCAATACCACAAAGGGATGGTTAGGATTGGCTGTGGGGGGTAATGGCTCAAATCGTTTAGGAATTAGGAGCAAAAAAGGGGGAAAAAAACAAGGGTTTCCTTGTTAATGGACAATCACTTTTAAGTACAATGTTAAATTTGGATTACCTCCCTTACAATGCTTTAAAATTATGTATAAAGAAATTTTGTATTGTCTTGAGGTGATTAGCTGTCAATTTATTTTTAGAAGTTACTAATAAAAATGCTAATTAAAGATATATTATTTTTAGACATGATTATGTATGTCATTTTCTATTATAAGACTTTTATGATGTATTTAAATGGGTAATTATGGTTGCAAACTCCATTGGAAATTTGAATTGAGATAATGACCATATCTTGAGGGAATGATTTTTGTTTGGAAAAAGGGGAGGGGAGGTGAAAAAAAATTGGAAAAAGGGGGGGGGGGGGTAAAAAAGAAATTGGGGGGGGGGGGAACAATTTTTTTTTCTCATTAGATTTCAGAAATTAAACGGGTGGGGTGAAAAAAAAAATTTTTGCCAAAAAAAGAAGGGGGGGGGGTCAATTTGCAACAGCATAGTGTATTGCACAAAAGCAAAAAAAAACGGGGGGGGAGGGGGTAAATTTTTTTTTTTTTTTTTGGGGGGGGGGGGGGGCAATTCGCAACAGCAAAGTGTATTGCACAAAAGCAAAAAATTGAATATAAATTCAAATCATAAAACCAATTCTAAGTTCTTTGACTACAGTTATTCTGTGTCAGAAACCTATTATGTGTCAAACATTTAATTTCAATCCAAATTCAGACCTGTATCAAGCATGAATATTGTGTCCATTTTTGCCCCAACTTTTCAGGGTTGGACCTCCGCGGTCGTATCCAGCTGCGCTCGGCAAAGCAATTTATTAACTTTTACCATTTTAGCTGGACCTTTGAACAAAAGGTCTACAGCCTGACCTGATGTTGCACTTGAATTTAGCCAAGTAAAAGGGGGAAACTTGTGAAACGTGTCTTTGTGTTGTAAACATGCTTAAATTCTTTTTTACATATATTTACATGCATAAATATGTATATATATCTACCAAAAACATGCCTGCACCATGATCATTAGTAATTGATACAAGAAAGATTTCATGTTCTTTCATCTGATTTCTCCTTTAAAGTTGAGGCTTGAGCATGTTGAGTGACAGCTTGTTGAAGTTTCTATGAAAATCAACACAATCTTTTGTTATTAAAAATTATCTGTATTGATTCTTAACTATTTATATACTGTAAGGATTCATTTCTGGTGCATCAATAAAATTTCTTTCATACGTGGCTCAAAGAGACAGTAATAAATTTGCTTTTAGAATTCAACCATTTATGAACTGAACATTTATTGATAGTGAAGAAGTAAATTAGTTGTAACATATATTTTTGTAACAAAGTTGAATGGTATGGGGTTAATTAAGTTCTTAATAGGAACTTGTACATGTTGTACTGTACTCTCAAAATGTTCAATGGGAAATAATGTATTGCTTTTGAATATCTTCTTAGTTTGTATACAGTATAAATATCTCCTTGGTTTGTATACAGTATAAATATCTCCTTGGTTTGTATACAGTATAAATATCTCCTTGGTTTGTATACAGTATAAATATCTCCTTGGTTTGTATACAGTATAAATATCTCTTTGGTTTGTATACAGTATAAATATCTCCTTGGTTTGTATACAGTATAAATATCTTCTTGGTTTGTATACAGTATAAATATCTCCTTGGTTTGTATACAGTATAAATATCTCCTTGGTTTGTATACAGTATAAATATCTCCTTGGTTTGTATACAGCAAAAGTGCACTGCTCTTGTTTCCATATGACTACTTCTGATCAGTTTTGATTCATTTTTTAAGGACTTTTTATTTGTCATAATAATTACTGATACTTTTTCTTAAATCTTGAAGGATTGGGAAATAAAAAAAGAATGGTTTTCCAAAAAGTAAAAAAATAGTATAACCCCTAAAAAAGTTACAGCAGGAGCAGTGGAGCTGGATCTGCTTACCCATCCATAGCACATGAGTTCATCCCCGGTTTTGATGGGGTTCGTGATGCTCAGTCTTTAGTTTTCTGTGTTGTGTTTTGTATACCGTTGTTTAAATCTTTTGGTTTTTTTGTTTTTTTTGCCAAGGTGTTGTCAGTTTATTTTTCGACTTATGAGTTTGAATGTCCCGTTGGTATCTTTTGCTTCTTTTACAGAACATATGTTTAAAACATGAGGGTAAACTTAGAAGGATAATGACCCATCGATTCCATGATCCTTAAATGCTTTACGATACCTTTCTTCCATCTATGACTAATTGTCATGAATATGCATGAAATATTTGCCACTGAACATTAAGCAACCAACAATCAATCAATCATCTATTTATTAATGTCATGCATGTTTTTAAGGCAGGATTATTAGTATTACTCATTTTCATGAATTTCAATCAAATATTGAATATCAGTTATTGAAATCAACAATAAGTTTTACAATGAATCAATCAGTTTTCTGAGACTGTTTTTCTATAATGTCTGTAGAAGGTTGAGTGGCCTGGTAAAACAATTATAGTACTCATGGTACATATGTTATGCACAAGAATCTTATTATATTGTTTTCCTGAAACTTGAAAAGGGGGAATGATATACTTTTAAATGACAATTTTGTCATTCTAAGGTTCAACTTAAACATTTGTATCATCATTCATTAACATAAAAAGAACTGTAAATACAGAAATTTTTGCATACATTAATTTTTGAGGTTGTTGAACAATTGACAAAACTGAGAGATTAATAATTGAGATTTCAGGAAATGTTGCAAACAAATATTGCTATCTAATTTAAAATGCAAATTACAATTTATTCAAACCGATCCTCAGTCGCAATTTCCGCAATATTAAAAACATTATGAATAATTCTGAATTTACAGTAGATATTTTTGAACAAGTGTTAAAGTTTTGTCACAAAAATACTAATGAAACTCTTACTCCTGTCAAATTCTATTGTATGCATTCTTTAATTGACTGTTTAATTTACAGACCCAAAAAAAAGAAAAGGAATATATTATATATATCTCTATGAGTAATGCATTTTAATTGGTACTGTAATCAACCCATTTTTATACACTGGGCCATTGTGTGCTGGAATATAAACAAATCAACAAAATAAATTTGAAAATAACATGCATTTTGCTGTATACTGCTTTCTATATGGTATGGTTTTTGCTCATTGTTGAAGGCAGTGACCTATATAGTTGCTAACTTCTATGTCATTTGGTCTCTTGTAGGAAGTTGTGGCATTATGGCTATCATATGTCAATATATGTTTAACTTGTAAGAACTAGAGTTGTTGTAACTTGTAAGAGTTGACATCAGATTTGTATATTAAAGGAATGACAATGTAATCTATTTAATTATTAACAAAAATAAAGTATGTTTTTATTTTGTATTTTCATATGACGTGGACATTCTTTTAAAAATTCTTAGATTTAAATGTTATATTTAGTAGTTGTAAAAATAAAATTAAATAATTAGATAGGTGATTAATTTTTAAATATTTGTAAAGTCTTAAATCAGTTATATGAATATGGTATGTTTATAAGAAAGCTGATTTCCTTTAATCTGCACATCACGAAATCAGCCTTCTTATTTATCTTATTTGACAAGAAGACATTTTTTTTTTAAATTTGCAAGAGTCAAAATATTTATAACCTTTAACTATTTTAGTCATGAATGAAAATTAAATTTACTCTGATTTACCTATTGAAATCAAATAAACTTAAAATTATTTGCAATGAAAGTTCATTGTCTGCATTTTAGGATATATTAACTCCTATGAAGACTTACGCAAGTTTACAGTTTAAAGCTATGCAGTTTTAATGTCAAGAAAATGATATGTTGGAAAGTAAAATACAAAACTGTAATGTCTGAAATAATGTTCTTTGATGTCACATCAAAATTTTCAAGAAATGTATATAGGCTACTTTGATGATTTGGCAATTTCTGCAGTTACATTTAAATTCAATTTATACACTATAAGTTATTATACTTTGACCCAACTAACATGATTATTGAACTGCTAATCATGGTCTTTGAAGCCCCTTGTAATATTGAAAAATAGAGGGGGTTATGATTTTGCATTGATTATATTAGAACAAAGTTATGTCCTGCCTGCTACAGGAAAAACAAATATAGCCTTATAAAATGAAAAGAGTGTTTAGTTTTGGGTTAGAGAATTTTAAGACTTCAATACTGTAACAGTAATTATATCTGAATAATGTAAATAATACTTGAAACACAATTATAGGGTCGATAACGTGCATTTTAACTTGTAAATAGGTTGCACTGAGAGTTAAATAGGTGGAACTTTAAATAAGAACAAACAGCTCATATGGTCTGAAGGTGGAACTTTTAGGAAGATAAAATCAAGAAAACCTGATGACATAATTTTATATCTGTACATTACTGGTAAAATCATTAAAAAACATTGACACATGACGACATAAATAATGACCTCTCATTTTGTAAAATCACTCATCCAATGACCTACACTATCTATAAATACTAAGGAAAACAAGTCTATATCATCCATACCGAACACATCAACAGATTGCCACGTTATATGAAAAGTTTTTAAATCAATATATTGTATAAAGAGGATTCAACTATGTCGGAGAAACAGCTGATAACTTCAGTAAGTTTTTTTTTAATTTTATGTTAATTGCAGAGAACTTCTAAAATTTCTTCCTAGTTACTTCACAATGTTAGACATAAATATATGTATACATAGTTTTGTTTTTACTCTACTTTTGCAGTTATTCATCTAAATCATGTAACATATGCAACAGGTGCAATACACTAAAACTTCTTATTTGAATTTTTGATTATCTTTGAATTTTCAAGAAAAGGAAGAAAGAACCTTAAAATTTCTTGTTTAATTTAATCATATAGAAGTGGATATATATACAAAGGGGGGATTTAAAGATCCAAAACAAGCAGTGCAATAAGATTAATGTCATCATGATCAAGTAACAGATGCATACATTAAAACTTCTTATTTCTTTTTTGAATTTTTGATTATCTTTGAATTTTAAAAAACGAAAAAACGTGCCTTAAGATTTCTTATGTTTACTGTAATCATTATGAAGGGGAGAGAGAATATATACCAAGGGAACATTCAAAGACCATGACAAACAGTTCAATAAGATGTGTATACATCAAACTTATATCTTCAGGTTATAAATTTTATGTAACTGCAGAAATTCAAGCACACAATGAACCTACATTACAAGTATTTTGTGAAGTTTATATAATTTCAATCAGCAAATCAAAGTACGGTATTAAACTTTAGCCTTTGTTAATGACTGAAGTACCAACCTCCCCAAGAATCAGACAGTGCATTAAAACATGACAAACAAAATCCCACTTAAGTTTACATTATTTTAAGTGCAAAATGTATATTGGTGCACAAATATATCATTGGTTTCCTTTTCCTATTCTGGTATTTCAAGATTTAATTAGGTTGAAGTGCACTAGAAATTAACAATTAAGGGGAGCTTACCCTGTAATTTGCTATCATTTTAACCAAAAGTTATCTAGAGATTTCTCGAAATTACCAGACATGCAGAAATGAAAGACCCACCATTTCTTAAACTCAGGATGAGGGTAACTTCAAAATAGGATGGTTAGGTCAGTGGGTTTTTATCAGCAATGTTTTAAAATTCTTCTAAACTGCCTGATTCTTATGAAGACTCAGGCACTTAAATAGTTAAAGGGATATACAGGTAAATATTAGACTTTTGCAATTTTTGAAAATACTATCTTCTTTTCAAAAACAGTTCTCTTAGATGATTATTTTGCTTAAAAGTTGGTGACCTGCTTGTTTTTTACTTGCTGACAAAAACAATTTGATTGAATGAAATTAATAAACACATCTTGTGTCCAAGCTTTCCTTACAAGGATTCTGACAACACCACTTTCTATACTTTCTGTTCTGGTATTTTTCAAATCAGCAAATAATTTTTAATTTTTGAAGATGTGTATCATCATCACGAAAAAACCAAAGGATCTTGAAAGGTCTTTAAAACAGAAAGGATTGAGAAAAAAAAATAACTTCAAAGTTTTTTCTTGCTCTGTTTAACTACTACATTGATAACTTTTGTCAATTAGGTTTAGGTTTTTGTTTTTATCTCATTCTGTAATTGGCAGAGACTAAAAAATCCAGTACATAATAGTACACCATGTTAGGCCTAGGGTTATTCTGCACACCCTTTGTAATAGATATACTTAAATAATGAATACTTTGAAGATGAAAAGCAGCAGTAAAATGCTATTAATTAGACAAATGATTTAGTTTTTCCCAGTATTTTAAACACATTATATTGACTTATAAATCTACCATTGCTATCTTTGTTCTGCATATAGTTTAAGAGATACAAAAATTTGACCTAAATTTGGCTACATGTATAGATATATGTATATCTTAATAGTAAAAACATTCAACAAGTCCACAAACTATGTCATTCATACTTACCACTATATATAGTTTACAAATAATTTATTGTTGGCCTGCATGGTGTATTGGACATTTTTACATCTTGCAAATAATTGTGGAACTGTGCTAAAGGGAGGGCTATCATTTTAGAAATATTAATGCAGTACTCATGTTAAAATTTCCAATAAACCATGGCTATCATGAATCTTTGATTTTAATTGGACAATTAATAACATTTTGCATTAAAAGCAGACCTATAAGATATGTTTGAAAGGAAACCATTTTTATTTTTATTAAATGAATATTTATTAACAATAGTAAGGACCCAACTGTCTCACGTACTATATTATCTGTGACTTAATAACATTCTTTGAATAAGTGATGTTTAATATTTTTGGAACAAAGTGCTTCATAAGCATATCGAGGCTGGCTGATATTTGTATTGTAAATTGCATATTGTATATTGTAACGTCACACATGTTTACCGGATGTTTTATGAAAATTAGACCGATGACTTTGTTACCAAAGTGAAAGAAGAGCATAATAGATATTAGAATTAAGCCTCTACTTCGAAGTATAATAAATTTTCATGATATTTTAAACTGAGACATTACATCTAACTCAAACTTCAAAGTGGGGGTATCATATACATGTAGTACAACTTAAAAGGCAAACTTACATTCAAAACTATTATACTACTGTTAAAGGTTTTATATGAACATGATGAAATAAAGAAATATATTTAGTGTTTTATAAACATTTTATAGTTCATGTCAATGTGGAATTGTGTCATAAAGTCATAGTTTTAATGTTTGTTTATAATGTAAATGTCATGCTGCCCATAATGGTAGGTCTATGTCCACTCTTTAGAATTGCAAGGTATTTTTCACCTTTTAAATTATCAGTTACATCTTATCTATTATTTTTGCATTCTAAAAATAGAACGTAAATGACATACATTTATTGACATTTTACAGTGGTATGATTGTTGAGTTTTGATTAGCTGTACTACTGGTATAGAAAACACCCACTTATAAAGCTACATGTAGATTTAATGATATGAAAACTTTTTAATAACTATGAAGTAGATCATTAAATGATTTATTTCTGTACTTTGCAACAACTATATCTGCATAACTTTATGATGATGAAGATTTCCTAATAGATCATTATTAATTGTCAATCAACTTCTTTTACACAAATAGTTTTAAAATTATGTTTAGAAAAGGGTATAGGAAGTTGATGAAATGAGCATGTTGAGGAAGAAAGGAAGATATTTTTAAAATATAAATGGAATTGTCGAAAAATGTCTATAATCTACATGTTATTGGATAAAAAATTAAGAATTTATGCAATAATAAAGTTTTTAGTTTGATTCCCATTTCCTCATTCATGTCATTTATTATAAAATGAAAATTTTTGAAAAATTAAGGTTTTATAATTTTTTGTTCCTGTATATTGACACCAGAAATCCTTAATTTTCACAGGAACTAACTTCTTGTTCCTTTATATTGACACCAGATCTTATTCCGACAGGAACTAGTGTCTTGTTCCTATTTATAGACATCATAAATCCTACTCTCACAGGAACTAATGTCTTGAGTGTTGTGACAACAATAATTATTTGTAAACAAATTAAATATCTAGCTTTAATTGTTTTGTGAGTTCTGACTAAAGATTATTTTAATTTGATATCTTGGACAAACTGATGACCACAAAAGGAATTTATGAAAAATGTACTATCTACAGAGATCTTATTGTATCAGTAATAGTTATACACCGAGGGATATGGCGTGTCTGGATATTTCCTTAAATGTGTTTTTTAATATCTTGAAACGATTTGTAGTGAACACTATTAGTAATTTCTTATGTTCATGCTATTTAAAAAATAATCAATTTCTATTGTTACGAATAACAATGGACTTTGTTTGCGGGATGTAGAAGCAGGGGTTTCCAGAAACCCCGCTCCTCACACCCTGTGGTCAAAATCCTTTGTTATTCGTAACAATAGATCTATTCAATTTACACTTGTTTCAGAAGTAGAAACTATGAAGTATAACAATAGAACTGGGGTGTAATAATTAGTTTTTTTTTTTTTTAAACTGATGCTTTACATGTTCATGCTAACATTGTGAACATTAAAAGATAAATAGATAATTAGATCACATAGAGTAAAATGCATAAAAATGTTTCCAATTGTGTTCCCATTTTGTAGATATTTTTCTGAGCCAGTACTAAAGTAATGCTTCGCTGAGTTGATCTCCTACTCGTAGACATCCCTATTAATTTCGTAGTAGAAAAAACTATCAATAAGTTTTTTGCTGAAAAAAGTTATTTAACTTTAGATTATTTAACATTGTTCAATTAATCTGTATTTAAATAAAGTTTAAAAAAACCTTTAGAAAATATAAATAGCTATACTGTAATAAAAAAAGCAGGTTTTTTTTTTTAAATGTCCCATTAAGTTAGGAGCATGATTATTTTCTTAGAAATATATAGGTAAAGTCAAGAAATATGTAGGTCAAGGCAATGTAAACTCTTTGTGCATTTCTTGAAGGTAATACAAACAGTTTCTTGGAATAAATGAAAATAATATGGGATTCTTTAAATGTTGCATAAAGGTTAAAATTAGTAATCAGGGTAAAGCTATGACAATGGTATTAGAACACACTACTGAATCATAATACAAATTCTTTTTGAAATGAAGAACAAAAAAATGACACTGAGTATATTTTTTGTAATGGTTGTATAGTGCATGTGGAGATTTAAATCAGAAATTCAATGTTGATAATGAATAGAGATATATATGATTTTGGAATACAGTACTAAACAAGGAACTTTTTGGTTTACCCATACAACATAAAAGGCCAAACCACAAACTGTGTACTACATGTCTTACATCATTTTGTACTATGACATATATTTATTTCTATTGTTTTAAACATATTTATACATGATACAATAAATATATTTTGTGAAAAATCTTGAAAACCATACAGACATTTCTTGTAAGAGTACAACAGTATATTGACATGACATTTATTGAAATGACAAATATTTGAAGACATCAATCAAAAAGACCACATTTTATGTGGAAAAGTGTTGTTTTCAATGAAAGATTTGTACACATTTGTGACGTTGATATACATTTACCGACCGTCAATATGTTACAAATAAATAACATTAGAAACTGGATGGACACGAAAAAGGAAATGTATTTTGATTATCATTTGCAGGCGGTGCAGAAGGCCACGAATGTTACTTTCCAAGAAAACTTTGTGAGTCGTGATAAGAGAGGTCAGGTCCTAGGACAAGGAAACCGTTTCTTGGGATGCACAGTATGGTTAACTGGACTCTCCGGAGCAGGAAAGACAACCCTATCTTTTGCTCTGGAAAATTATTTGGTCAGTCAGGGAATTCCATCATACAGTTTGGATGGAGACAACGTAAGAACTGGTTTGAACAAGAATCTTGGATTCACACCAGAGGATCGTGAAGAGAACATCAGACGTATTTCTGAAGTTGCAAAGTTATTTGCTGATGGTGGAATAGTGTGTCTGACATCATTCATCAGTCCATATGAAAGGGTTGGTAAAAAAAAAAAATACTTTTACTGTCTATTTTTAAGTTCAGCTATATTTTTGATAACGTTTGATATGAAAAGTTTTACCATGTAAGAGTACTCATAGATAATTTGATTTAGGTTTAGTACTGTATTTTTATGCCTCACTGTAATGAAAAAAAACATCATGTACAATTACATGTCAGTTCAAATGCATGTATCAGAAACCAGTAATATACACGTGTATACGTATGATTCTCATTTAATTATTTTTTTTGAATTCTTAATTTATGGAAGGAGAACAATACAAATTTATGCCTTATGAATTAGTGCATGTCCATTTCTATTGGCTCAGTTGTCTTATATCTATAAAACTATTAGATTGAAGTAAACAAGTGTATATCATGTAACTTGAGAATGTCAGCTTTTTATAAGGCATTATAACTATAAATAAATTTCAGATACATGATATTCAAAGATTTCAATGAAATAAGAAAAGACACAATATCATGTGCTGTTCCGTGAAAATATACGGGTAGCAAGTTTTCATGACTCAGTTAATTTTAAAAAGTGTAACAAAAATATGCAACTCAAAAAATTCAAAAAGGGAAAGTGCATACCAGGGTAAAACCTGACAAAATCAAACTAAATATTAAAATGACTGCTCCAAAAAATTGTACTTTATAATATTATCTTCAGCCATGCTTTTGTATAACAGTAACCTAGGCCAATTTTCAGGCCAAAGCTCTAGGAAAGTTGATATAGTACTTGATCAACTGCATGTACATATCAACAGCATTTCAGCATTTATATGACTTAAATCATCAAAGGATTTCTGAAAAATCTGCCAGGTATCCCATTTTTTTATGTATACAGAAAGAAGAACGTCTCAATATTTCTCATTTCAATTCTGATTTACAGGACAGGGAAAAGGCAAGAGAACTGCATGAGAAAGCTGGACTTAAGTTTGTGGAAGTATTTGTAGATACCCCTCTAGAAGTTTGTGAAGAGAGAGATGTCAAAGGACTGTATAAGAAGGCCAGAGCTGGACAAATTAAAGGTGATTTTTCTGCAGTCATTTCTTGGAGATTCATTTGTAAAAATTAGACTTAGTTATTGTGAACTAAATGAAACATTTCTCTGAATCGCCTCCTATTGGTCAATCTATTTGTACTTTTGTCAGTTCTATTGTCCCATTGAATAAATACAATAGCTATTGTTCTCTGTGTAGTTTATTCACTGGGACCTTTAAATTTCTTCTAAGAGAAATCCATCACTCATTGATTAATTTACCGGAGTAAAAAAATATCTTCGTAAAGATGAAAAAACATGTTTTAACTTACAAAACTGCATATGATGTTGTATTTATTCAATATCAATAATATATTTTCAATCTGTTTAATATCAGCACTGATTTAATCATCAAAAGTTGAATTCTGACAAAATTTTTAGCATTGTTCCTATAGAAATTTGCATTTTTTTTGTTTGTTTAGTTATAGAATACATTTAAGAAGGCCTTTATTTAAACAGCATCATTTTCAAGTTTTTATTTGTCAAACACAAAAAAAAAGTTTCAATAGGAACATGTTGAAAATTTTGTCAGAAATCAACTTTCATTGTCTGAATCACTATTTACATTGAACAAGTTGAAAATATATTATTTATATTGAATAAATACAACATGCTGTTTCTATTTCATAATTCATAATATGTTTGGTTCATTGAACAGAATTAGACATCTGAACCACATCCCAATTGAGAAGTTAACTATAAATGTAATTTGAACACTGATTATTTAAAATATTTTTCATAAGATGTAACGGATGTAGATTCAGCCTGAACATGATGACCATCTACTAATTCCAGATAAATTATGATAGTAGGAACAGAAAAAAATGCTGTAATAAGAATTATAATTCACAAGATATGATAACTTACTCCCAAAGATTCATTGATATAGAATCAGGCTTTGCTACTGACAGAAAGATTAACAATGATTGAAAATTTCACAAAATTTTATATTTTCATTCACAGGGTTCACTGGTGTGGATTCAGCCTATGAACCTCCTTCTAATCCTGATGTTAGAGTAAAGGCTGGTGAATTTATTGTGGATGAATGTGTTAATCAGATTGTTCTACATCTCATGGAATTGGTATGTCAAATATATTGCAGCATAATTAAGGAAACGTATGTGCCCATGGACAACACATTTGGAACTGTCAACCATATAAAATTTTCATTTTCACCTCTTAGCACTACATTAGTTTTGATGACAACTTGCTGAAATTTTGACCATTATACTACTGTTACTGAATCATTTATACTTAATTGTAGAAATTATAATTTATGAATAAAACAGAGGCATGGGTAAATACCAATGAGACAGCAACACAAATAGCCACAAAGTGTCAGAAATAGTATAATATATTATTCAACAACAAAAAATTTAATAGTAGGAAATATGCAGTAAACATAGATAAGAGAGTTGCCAAAGAACTTTTGTTTACTCTACTGAATCAAGCAGCTGACATTTTCTAAATATCATAATTAAATCAAGATTTACCACTTTGAAGAAAATTGGTTAAGACATACAACATTTTTTTTTTGTATTTTGAGGTTGTTTTTTTTAATATGTCTAATAATCTGTTTTCCTGTGATGCTATCAAATTCAATCATAATAAAATTAACCACATTTTTCACTTGTTATAACATTTATTTTTTTTCATAGGGAGTAGTTCCCTCTACAGCAGTTAGGAGTGTGAAGGAGTTGTTTGTACAAGAGAACCAACTAGAAGCTGCCAAGGCAGAGGCTGAAGCTCTTCCATGCATAGAGATCAATAAGGTAATTCTTTTTATTTACATGATCAATTTTAAAAGGCTATGAAAAATTATGATAATTGATAATTAATAGACATTAATTTTTTTTTACAAGTGTGAGAATTGTCTTTTCCTATGTATTATAAATTATAAAGGGACAAAGATTAATGTGTATTTTTTTACAGAATGTCATATGATTGTAAAAAGTTATCTTCATTGATTCAAACATTACGAGGCAAACATTGGAGGGAAAAATTTCTCACTTCAGCATTCTTTCTTATTATTGTCAGATCGTCCTGAACATGCATGAAATATTTGCCACTGGATCTTAAGCAATCAACAATAAACCAAAAGATACTAAAACCTATATAATTTTTTTTTTTCAGCTTGATACTCAGTGGGTGCAAGTTTTATCAGAAGGCTGGGCAACACCATTGAGTGGTTTCATGAGGGAGAGAGAGTATTTACAGTGTCAGCACTTTGGATGTTTGTTAGATGGTAGGTAGAACAAATGAAAAATCTTACTTTATTATCTTATTGATTATCTTTGAAAATTTATTTTCCTCATTGAGCAATGCATGCAATGTAAAGTTAAATAAATATTCACATTGGATATAGCTTTTTTCTAGATTTTAGAGAAGAAGAAAACTACCATTGGACTTTCAATTTATCACAGCATCGAAAATACAAGCATTTAATATTAAAATTAGGATTTTAAGTGATGAAAACAAAAAAATAAATATTTAAAAAAAAAATTATCTATAGATGTGATTTATTAGTTGTTATAAATGTATATTATGTTAAACTGATTTATTTTGACATTTATGTCTTAAATGACTACATAAATGGGCTCTACCCTGACATCATAATAAAATATACCCCAGGTTCTAGATCTATTAATTGTTTTCATTGTAAATGTGATCTAGGGTAAAAAAAAATAGAATGTCCAACAGTTATGTACATGTGTTTAGAATGGTTGTCATATACAATAATGATTAAAGTATGTTTATTACTATGTTATTTCACTGTAGATGTTAAACTGTGAACTTGTACAATGAAGTAGCTATGATGTAATAATAGAAAAAAAAGATAATGTCATGCTTTACTAAATATGATTTATAATGACAGTACTTATAAATATTCATTTGTATTTTTGACAGCAAAACTAAAAAAACAGAAATACCAGATGATTTCTTGTTTTATTTTTTTTCATAGGACTGTTCAAGAAAAAAAAAATGGGGGATCACTGAAGGGTCTCTGGAACAACCTTAGGCATAAAAATATATGAATTTTATATGACTGTCAAATTGTCTTTGACTAAATTTTTACATCAGTCTTAATTTGTAGACACTGTCAAATACAAAATACCATGTTTGTAATGTTTACTTGTGATTTATTTCAATCTATATGTACAAATTATGAAAAACACAGAAATCAAAATGAACATGAAACATAAAGCATCTTTTACAAGTTTGAAAACAAATATGAAAGATACTGCGAAAGTCTTGATATGATATTTCCAAAGGCAGAGAATATAACCTTGATAAATGTTGATTCTATAATAACAAATGTATTTGTAAGAACTATTAAAATTGAGAATGGAAATGGGGAATATGTCAAAGAGACAACAACCCGACCAAAGAGCAGACAACAGCCGAAGGCCACTAATGGGTCTTCAACGCAGCGAGAAAATCCCGCACCCGGATGTGGTCCTCAGCTGGCCCCTAAATATAATTGTGTACTAGTTCAGTGAAAATGGATGTCACACTAAACTCCAAAACATATAAATGAACTAAAATTAAAAAACATACAAAAAAAATATTACCTTTTAACTTGCAGGAGGTGTGACCAATCAGTCTGTACCCATTGTACTTCCTGTTTGTACTGAAGATAAGGAGAGGCTGAAGGATTGTACTGCCTTTACGTTAAAGTATGAAGGGAGAAATATAGCCATCCTGCGTGATCCAGAATTCTATCCACATAACAAGGAGGAGAGGTGTTGTAGACAGTTTGGGACTAGTAATAAGGGCCAACCATATGTCAAGGTATGTTGTAGACAGTTTGGGACTAGTAATAAGGGCCAACCATATGTCAAGGTATGTTGTAGACAAGTTGGGACTAGTAATAAGGGCCAACCATATGTCAAGGTATGTTGTAGACAGTTTGGGACTAGTAATAAGGGCCAACCATATGTTAAGGTATGTTGTAGGCAGTTTGGGACTAGTAATAAGGGCCAACCATATGTCAAGGTATGTTGTAGACAGTTTGGGACAAGTAATAAGGGCCAACCATATGTCAAGGTATGTTGTAGACAGTTTGGGACTAGTAATAAGGGCCAACCATATGTCAAGGTATGTTGTAGACAAGTTGGGACTAGTAATAAGGGCCAACCATATGTCAAGGTATGTTGTAGACAGTTTGGGACTAGTAATAAGGGCCAACCATATGTCAAGGTATGTTGTAGACAGTTTGGGACTAGTAATAAGGGCCAACCATATGTCAAGGTATGTTGTAGACAGTTTGGGACTAGTAATAAGGGCCAACCATATGTCAAGGTATGTTGTAGACAGTTTGGGACTAGTCATAAGGGCCAACCATATGTCAAGGTAAGATATTTTTAGGAATCTGCATATATGACTCAATAATCTTGAAAAATAAACATATGAATCTTTTCACTGTCCAACATTGGTGTCATCTTTTCAAATTTGTGAAAGTATCCTAATATCTTTCAACAATATATCCTGTTAAACATTAAACAATTATTGTCAAAACACTGTTTGTTCACATGATAGAGTGTCTTATAGTTAATTTATTTATAGGCTTAAAAAAAAATTAAAACAATAATGACTAAACTGCAAAAGATGAAAAAAACAAGAAAAAGGAAATATTGTTGTTACATCAAATTACAATCAAGTTTTTTACTCTTAAGAGGAAGTGGGGGAGGATAGTAGTGTTACTTAGAGATTTTAATCATCACACATTTATGTCATATCAAAGAAATTACTAAATAGTTGAATTGTTGAATTAAAGCCATTAAAATTTTGAATTGAGATTGCTCCTTTTCTTTTATTTGATCCCTTAATTGTCATTTATTATTACTATATATCTAAACTGATTTTTTCAGATGATATATGAAAGTGGTGACTGGTTGGTTGGTGGTGACTTGTCGGTGTTAAAACGGATAACTTGGAACGATGGTCTAGATGAATATCGATTAACACCATTAGAACTAAGAGCAGAATTTAGAAGATTAGGGGTAAGTGTGTTTCTATTTTGGATGTTGCTAGAGACTTAACAGGGTTTTAAGTGGGTAATTTGGAAAGATATTAAATTAGATAGCATTAAAACCATAGGAACTTTAGTAGAGTTTTGTTTACTGTACCAGTTGAATATATATTGACCTTTTGTGTGTAATAAAGATTAACTTGGGTTCATATCTTATCTTTACTGAAAAATCTTTGTTATATTTCAATCATGTGTTAAAAAATATATACTGGTATATTAGATTTTTATTGAATAAATATAGAATCTACATAGGTCTTCTCATCAGATATAATAGCCATTTTAACATGTTTTAAAAATAATTTGTCATTGTAGGCAGATGCAGTGTTTGCATTTCAGCTACGCAATCCTATACACAATGGACATGCTCTCTTAATGGCAGATACAAAGAGAAGACTTATAGACAAAGGATATAAAAAACCAACCCTACTTCTACATCCTCTAGGTATAAAATCTTTTAAGGAAAATATAATTTTGAAATAAATTTATAAGTTAGATATCCCAGCCTTAATCCCATAATTTTTTTAATGATAATTTTTTTTTTTTTGCAAGTGCCCTTGAACAAAGAGTTCACATATTGCAGTTGTCCTTAAATCAATGCAAGAATTATTGTAGTTCTTTGAGAAGTGTATAATAACACGGGTATTTTAAAGCTTTTAGAAGGATCCTTTATGTTTTACAATTGAGCCATTCTTTTCAACAATATTTTATTCTGATCAAGCAAACCCTTCTAAGGACACACTTCTTAACATTCAGTTATATTATCTTGGGTGTTTCAAAGCACCATTCTTTTTTTATTTGGTGTTTCTATAAAATATTTTGGATACTTGTGGTGATTATGGTTACTAAAGCTTGTAAACAGGAAGAAAAGGGTTAAAATTTGATTGGTTTACTTCCGGTGATGGTTATTATCTTATTTGCAATGAAATGTTATGTGAAATTTTCACTGTAGTACTGGACAACAAAGATAAATTCTGCACATTTTTTTGAAAAATGCTAATTTAACAAAGACTAATGGGGGAAAAACAGTGATGGTATTACTCCTATATATAAATGAATAGATAAATTTTCCATAAATATGATTTTTTGTTAAAAGGTGGTTGGACAAAAGATGATGATGTACCATTACCTAATCGTATAGAACAACATAAAGCTATATTAGAAGAAGGTGTTTTAGATCCAGAATCAACAGTGCTAGCCATATTTCCATCACCAATGATGTATGCAGGTCCAACAGAGGTATGAGTTATATTTATTAGTCTGTAGGAGAAAAGTTGCAGTTAAATTTAATTATCTGCTTTATTTCATTCTCCAGTATACACCGTATTTAAAATTTACTATGAGGAGCACTGAGAAGTATTTGTATTAGATTGTTTAACTTTTCAAACAAATTTTATCATGTGCTTTTCTAAAATCACAAATTTACACCCTATAAGAAAGTTATGGTCAGGTCTGATGTAGTACAGTGGATTCATTTTTTTTTTTTTTTGTGGAAACCAATTTTCTGGATAGATGAATATTTTCACAGACGTTTGATTTCCATATTTTATTAACCAGCCTATAGAAATTTTTTACTTCATTGATCATTTAAATTGGTGGTAAACTTAAACCCACAAAATCTGCAAAAATGGGTATGCCATGAATAATATTGAATACACAGTACTTATTATTGAAAATTTATTTCAGTTTGTTAAAAATAACTTCAATGAAGCAAACTCAAATTTCACAATTTATAATAAAGAAGAAGTAGATTATTACTCAGTAAATGGTTTAAATCTGGAAGCTTTTCAATTGATTCTTTCTTTTCAATAGGTTCAGTGGCATGCCAAAGCCAGAATGTCCACAGGAGCAAACTTCTACATAGTTGGTAGAGATCCAGCAGGGATGCCACATCCAGATGGTGGGAAAGATCTATTTGACCCATCACATGGAGCTAAGGTTGGTTTTCCTTATACCAATTAGGAAACAAATATTGAATTGCTATTTCTTACATTTAGGCATTTTTATACGACTGCAAACAAATTTTGCGGTCGTATATTGGTATGACGTTGGCGTCGTCCGAAGACACATTGGTTTTCGCACTCTTACTTTAGTTTAAGTGAATGGATCTCTATGAAATTTTACCATAAGGTTCAATACCACAAAAGGAAGGTTGGGATTGATTTTGGGGGTTATGGTACCAACAGTTGAGGAATTAGGGGCCAAAAATAAGCATTTTTGTAACTTCCAGACATAACTTGTGTGTTAGTGTATGGATCTCTCTGACATTGTACCACAAGGTTCCATATCACAAAGGGAATACTGGGATTGATTTTGGGGGTAATTGCCTCAAAATTTTAGGAATTAGGGGCCAAAAAAGGGGCAAAACACAAGCATTTTTCTAGTTTCATGACAATAACTTGTGTGTAAGTGTATGGATCTTTCTGAAATTGTACTACAAGGTTCAATATCACAAAGGGAAAGCTGGAATTGAGTTTGGGAGTAATTGCCCAAAACGTTTCGGAATAAGGGGCAAAAAATAGGCATTTTTTCTAGTTTCCAGACAATAACTTGTGTTCAAGTGTATGGATCTCTCTGAAATTGTACTGCAAGGTACCGAATCACAAAGGAAAGGCTGGGATTGATTTTGGGGGTAATTGCCTCAAAATTTTAGGAATTAGGGGCCAAAAAGGGGCCAAAAATCAGAATTTTTCTAGTTTCCAGACAATAACTTGTGTTCAAGTTTATGGATCTCTTTGACATTGTACTGCAAGGTACCATACCACAAAGGAAATGCTGGGATTGATTTTGGGGGTAATTGCCTCAAAATTTTAGGAATTAGGGGCCAAAAAGGGGCAAAAAAAACAAGCATTTTTCTAGTTTCAGGACAATAACTTGTTTCTTTCTGAAATTGTACTACAAGGTTCCATATCACAAAGGGAAAGCTGCGTTTGAGTTTGGGGGTAATTGCCCTAAATGTTTAGGAATTTGGGGCCAAAAAGGGGCCTAAAAACAAGCATGTTTCTGGTTTCCAGACAATAACTTGTGTTCAAGTGTATGGATCTCTCTGAAATTGTACTGCAAGGTACCATACCACAAAGGGAAGGCTGGGATTGAGTTTGGGGGTGATGAATCATAAGGGGGTTCAAAAAATTTGGGGGAGGGATTTTTTTTTCATTTTTTTTTCTTTAAAATTTTCCATTTTAAATTGGTTATTTTTGATTTATATATAAAAGCAAATAATAATGATATGGTTTGAATAGGTAAATTAAAAATTTTTAAGTTCTTGGACCACATTCATTCTGTGTAAGAAACCTATGCTGTGTCAAATATTTAATCACAATCGAAATTCAGTGCTGTATCAATCTTGAATGTTGTGTCCATACTTGCCCCAACTGTTCAGGGTTCGACCTCTGCAGTCGTATCAAGCTGCGCCCAGCGGAGCATTTTATTGCAGTTATCAGAAACTAGCTCAAACTCCAATAACAACTAATAAATAAACCTTGTCTTCCCAGACCAAAATATCAATCAGTACACCTCCAACATTGTAAAGATTACATCAGGGTATACATAGATATAAGAAGATGTGGTATGAGTGCCAATGAGACAACTCTCCATCCAAGTCACAATTTGTAAAAGTAAACAATTATAGGTCAAAGTACGGTCTTCAACACGGAGCCTTGGCATATACTTAAAACAACAATTAAAAACAATGAAATTTAACTATGAATTTTAACAGAACACGCAGCTCAAGTTTCACACAAAAAAGATAGTTACAAATGAAGGATAATTTTTCAATGGCTATAAAAATGGGTATTTGCTGCTTTTCCGCTAAGCACAAAGCATTTAGTTGTAAGAAATAAAAAATAGTTTGTGATATGTTTTTAATCATCAAGATGGACATTGAAAATGATTGTTGATTCGGCAATGCAAAAAAAAAGTACAATAGCATTACATCGTCAAAATCCATAAGAAAGAACAATTTCTTCGAAATTTTATAGATGCTTTAAGTAGTTTATCATATCTTAAAAATGTTACACTTCACTATTAAGAATTTTGGGCAAAAATAATCCAAAGTATACCCTTTCCTATGAGGATTTGGTAACTTAGTTTTGAATTACTGCTATGTTAATGACTAATTTATATTATCTTTTATTTTTGATAGGTTTTGACAATGGCGCCAGGTCTCACACAGTTAGAAATAGTACCATTCAGAGTTGCAGCTTACAACATCAAACTCAAATGTATGGATTTCTATAATCCCGAGAAGAAAGAAGATTTTGAATTTATTTCTGGCACAAAAATGAGAAAGTTAGCCAGGGAAGGTCATAATCCACCGGATGGGTTTATGGCACCAAAGGCGTGGAAGGTCCTTCAAGCGTATTACCAGTCTTTGAACAACCAATAACACTTAACTCTGAATAAAAATCTATGTGATAATGGGATAGACAAATTGAGGGACCATATTTATTCAAGAAGTTGTACTTCTTACATTTACCTTTAATGAAACATGCTTCAAATATGTGTATTATAAAAAGAAAAAAATCTTTTAGAAATATTTACAATTTACGCAATTTTTTTTAATAGGGGTCTGATCAGAATTATGTAAAGTATAATTATTTATAAAAAGTCTGCATTATTCACCTCTTTTCTCAAGTTTTTGCAATTTTTTATTTGCTAAAAAGTTTTTAATTTTTTATTCAAATTTTTTGTGAAACTTTAACTTTTAAATTCAAAATTGATTTTATGCAAAATAAGTGGTATATATATTATCAACATTTTTGTGTGCGGTATAGTTTTGTGTAATTACTAATACACAATGTCTTGCAGTTATATTTGAATTATTATAAGATTTATTTTTAAATCTTATTTAGATATGAACAATATTTGTTTGAGGTTGTGCAGATTTTCAAATGCTTTTTTTCACATCAAGAATTTTACTGAAAACTTATTATTAAATATTTTTCAATGTGAAAATCATCACTGCCAAGTAAAAGGCAAAAGGTATGGACCAATCTTCCTAGTTCTTTGTTTATTCCAATTGTGGTTGTCGGATACCCTTTCTACAAATATGTTTTTTTGTCTTGTAACTTGCATTAATGAAGCAGTTTAGTTGTTATAGTATATTTTATCTTTATTTATTATAAATTTGTATTGGCTATTTATAAATCTGCTGCACAGAACTTTTATGAAATTTATATTTTACATATTTCTGAATGCAATGTTACTTGTATCAAAATTTTAAGTATTTTTTATTGATTGTTAAGAGAGAAAATATATTTTGTTTGAATTTCAAAGATTTTAGATATACAGTTGGGACCTAGTTTAATGTGTTGTTGTTATTTTAGCCAAGAAATATTCTTAGTTGTCAAATATCAGTGAATATGCAGAATCAATAGTCTGTTCTAGTCACAACATCAAAAGAATATTTCCCTACTTACTGGTATTCCAACATCAAATAATGTTTTGTTTGTATGTTGTACATCAGTTTGGTTTTGGAAGGTCGATAACACTTTTAGGTGTTATTTCTTGTTTGAATATCTGCCTGAGTGGCATTGCGCTAGTGTCTTACCCCGAGTGTAGGAGATCATGGCCATGGGTTCGAGCCCAGGCCAGGTCAAACCAAAGACTTGAAAATTTGTATTTAGGAGTAAGAGCAAAGACAGGCTGGGCTGGCTCAGAGTCGGAATAATGTGTAATATTCTGGCTCAGTGTGCTGCTTTAATACAGAGCAGAGTTCCTTTCCATATCACATTTAAAACATGTTCTCATCTTATTATGCATGTAATGCATGCCACTGGACTTTAAGCAAAATTTCATCAATTGTCTGATTAATATTAAAGGCAAAATTCATGACATAGAAATAAGAAGATGTAGTATGAGTACCAATGAGACAACTCTCCATCTAAGTCACAATGTGTAAAAAGTAAACCATTATAGGTCAAAGTATGGCCTTCAACACGGAGCCTTTGCTCACACCGAACAGCAAGCTATAAAGGGCCCCAAAATGACTAGTGTAAAACAATTCAAACAGGAAAACCGACGGTCTAATCTATATAAAAAACGAGAAACAATAAACACATCAACCACCGAAACAGGTTCCTGACTTAGGACAGGTGCAAACAAATGCAGTGGGTTTAAACATTTTAACAGGTGCCGACCTCTACCCTAACCTGAAATAGTAGTGTAACATTACAACATAGAAAGACACATTATAAAACATCAATTGAAATGGCTTATCTCGACCAAAAAGACGTGATTGATTGTGATGTATTTGATAGAAGTAGAGTCTTTGAAAAGATGAATATTCTTCTTCCTTGTGGGTTCTCATTTCAGTTTACATAGGGCACTGTTACAGATTTTCACCATTATTTCTTTAGGAATATCCAAAGCCTTCGATTGATTAATTGTTGGTGTTTAAAGCCACTGTGAGCACTCTTAGCTATTTCATTGCACAGCCAGCTTTATAGGTGGAGTAAACCAGAGAGGACCATGACCGTTTGCAGGAAAACTGGGTAATCAAAGTCAATTAAGATTAGAGCCAAATATACCTTCCAACGCGAGATTCTAACTCACAACTCAGTTTTGACAGGCTAGTGATCATTTAAGATGAACTACTTAGACCACTCTGCCACTGGTGTCCCCCAAATCCTTTGAAAAAATCTTTTTAATAAGAACTGGATTCCTATACAAAAGTATTGTAAACAGTATATCAAAGTCTAAATTGTGTAATGTGAGCTTTATGATTGCTTCTCCAAAAAAGATTGGGACACTCACTGAAATATTGTTTGTTTGCATTTGCCTAGTAGATTCATTATTAATGTTGAAAATTTGAAGAAAACATTGGGAAAGATATGTAGATAGTGATGTCAGTAGCTAAGATTTGTATATAAGTGATGACCTTATAAAGTTTTGTAACTTGATAATGCAAAAAGATAGTAAACCACACTAAATTAGTAGAGAAATTGACTTTCAACCAATTAGTGTCAAACTTCATATTAGTTGAAAAGTAACTTGTATTGTCTGTCGTTCGGCATGAATCGTTCGGCATGAATCGTTCGGCAATGAACAAGTATTCTGTTTATCATATAAGTTTTAGTAAATGTAGGAAACCATTTAGGATGTTTGGTAAAGTCATTGATGTAACCCAGAGTCCATCTATTGACAGAAGTGATTTCTCAATTCTACCATTTTGTGTATAACTATATTTTTAATACAATACTCTTAAGAGTTTGTGTTTCAAGAGTTTTCTTGAAAAAAAGGAGTCTGGAACCGAAGAATTATGATAGTGAAGTTGTCTTCATTTAGAGATCTTTAGATGGTTGAATACTTACAACACCATTACATGTACAGTCAGTTGTTTAGGTGATTTTATGAATTTTTTCATCCATTTAAGTATTGGTAAATTTTGATCCTACATAGCCTCTAATGAATTTTCATAAGGCTTGTGTAGACTTGGTTTGATTACAACTCTACATATATTATGGACACTTGTCTACCTTTGAAGGCATGTTGATTATGTCTTTTGATTTTTTGCACTGTTGGATTGCTCTTCTCTTGAAGAGTCCTATCAATACGTGCCTAAGAGCCCAAATGAAACACTACTCATATTTCCTAACATTTTGACACTATAAATGAAGTTTGGGTGAAATATGTTTTAACTTATATCCCTTTTTACCAAAATAAAACAATAGAAAAAGATTCCCGGTATCATTCTGTTTAAACTTACTGTAAATTCAGAAATTATTGCGTGCATTTATTATTGCGATTGTTAAAAAATGGACATAAATGCGAGTTTAATTATTGCGATTTCAGGAAAATCTGCATCAAGATATAATTTTCAGATATCAAAATGCGAGTTCTTTTTTTTTGCGATACTCACCCAGTCGCATTATTCTCATTAATAAAAACCTCGCAATAATTTCTGAATTTACAGTACCTATTAACTAGTCTTGGTGCACATGTAGATATCATCAAAAAAACTAGAGGCTGTCATCCAGAGGTTACTGTCTGTTATACAATTTTTTTTTGCTCATAGTAGTGGTTAAAAATCAGGTTGTAGGCTTTCTTTTGAAATGTTTCACATTTCTATAGCTTACTGTACATTGCACAGCATGGGTTTTACTCCTTGTTGAAGGCAGTGTGGGGACCTGTGGTTGTTCACATCTTTTATCTTTTGGTCTCATAGGCAGTCATACCACATCTCCTTATCTTTATTCTATATTGCTCACCTATCATTTTTGAGATATAAGACAGCACTTGTATTTACCCCTATGTTCTCTTTAAAGTCATGTCAACCATGTTGCTTGGTGGGTCGAATTAAAGTTTTCAAGATTAGAGCAAAAAGCACAAAAATGGGTATACTAGTGTCATTTAGGAACAATCAGTTCTATAAGCAGTAGAATGAAAATTTTAACCACATTACCTTATTTGTAGATCTTGTCTAGCTGTTCATTTTTGCTGTTTAAAGTTTCCTTTTATCTATTATATCTAGTTATAAAACATTTAATAGCCAATAACACAAAAAATGGTTGAAATCATCATTTAATGGCAACAGCTATTTTTATTAATTCTCTGACAATTTTGGTCAAAAGTAATTTTGACCAAGCCAAATTTTCTCTATCTATAATAGTTTAACAAATATTAACAATACTTGCATTTTACCCCTTATGTTCTATTTTTAGTCACAGCTGCCATGTGTGTTGGTAGGCATAATCCTTTTCATGATAATCTAGAAATGATTGTGGCTAAGTTTTGTTTTGATTGGTTATGAAGTTTCAGAGGACAAGAAATTTATCAAAATTAACAGATGACTGGCTAAAGCTCACAAAGTAAACTACAAATTTGTAAAGCTCTCCACAGAACCCTGTGTCTCACCTGCACTTGTTAAAAAGTGTTATGTTGACTGCAAAAACTTAGGGTGCTAAAAGGTAAACTATAAACATATGAAAGCATGAAAAATTTCTTGATAAGAATACTGTAAAGGTCAGTATATGTAACAGATATATATTTCCACTTTTTTAATATGTCTATCCTGTTAAACTTAAATGTTATTGATTCAGTGACATAGATGCATAGAATCTTTCATAGAAACAGGTTTCTTAGAGATACATAAACTACATGTCATAGTGTATCTCAGTTTGGAGAAGAGGCATATCATAATTTTAATCAACAAATAAACTTTAAATAGTTTTAACATTTTTAATTCACAGTTATTCACAGTTTTTACATTCTAAAAAAAGTGACATTCTAGCAATGCTTTATAATACACTATCTTAACGATATTGTTTACACTACTGTACTCCATAAATATGAAAGAATGAAGCAACTACATGTTTTTGCTTTAAATGACTTTATAATCATTTTTAGTCCATACCAATCTTGTTTGTAACAATTATCTTGAACAGACACATGTTAAACCATTTAACATTTTTCAGCTCTTATTTACATATTTACATAATTGTATATCTTTCTTATATTTTTAACAATTTTTAGTCTTAATATTTAATTGCATCCTCTTTAACCTGTATATACAAAAATCTATAAAATGATCATGATTATTGATGTGTTGATATTTTTTAAAAGTATGTTTACAGCATAGCACATGTATCTGTTATATTTCAACCATTGTCAGGTTCAGGTTTAATGTTTGATTGTGCTGCTTGTTCACTAAACACACTTTTCATGCCCAAGTCCATGGCAGATGATACGGTAGATAAATCTGAAGTACCAGTCCCTATACTGGGCCCTGATCCTGATGGTAGAGATACTACAACTATTTTCTGAGTTGGTGTTCTAGGTATGACACTTGGAGTCCTGGGTAATGACCCTGGTGTCGACGATGAGACAACTTTAACGATAGTTGGTGTGTTTCCTAGTGATGAAGGGAGAGACTGACGTATCTGAGGTGACATGCTGATGGGTTGTCCTGGTGTATGTGTTGCTCGTGGCTGTGATGACATGACAATGAATTTGGGTTGAGATCCTGCCCCAGGTGTTCGTGGAAATGGTGATTGATGTGTCATAGTAGGACCTGCTGATCCTGGCTGCTGTAAAATTATTTGTGGTCTGGCCTGAAAATATAAAAAAAAAAAACAAGTGAAAATGCGAGCTACTGCTCACTGATGATACCCCCGATTATTTTAATAGTGTAAAAATATGTAAGTGTTCGGTAAACAGGAAGTTATTGAGTGATGAATCTGAAAACGCATCACACAGTATAGCTGACTTATATAAACCCTAAACCAAAATTCAGAAATCCTTGTATTATAGTTCCTGAGAAAAATGTGACAAAATTTTTCAACTTGGCTATCATGTGTAAAAT